TAACCATGTTTAACGGAAAACAGTGACGCTTAACGTTCGTAATTAAGATGAGCACGAACCGTATGGCCAATAGATTTTTTACTAGTTTAGATATTTTGGCGCTTAAGATTTTTTACATGCTTCTCATAGAGCTTATGTCCACGATGCTAGATCGTCAAGTGTATGAAATGAAGTTGGATACAATATGGTATATGACAATGGTATTGGATATGATGTGACATGAAGTGCGCAACTAGTATAGAAAAATCGGACGGGATGCATTTTCATCCGGGATTTCGATCCGAGATATCGTGGACACAGATTCTTATTGTTATACATAGTACGTGTCAAGGTAAGAATGATACATCAAAGCATTAATGTAGAACTGTACATTTTTCAAATTGTCGGTTTTCCAAATGTTTTATCCCTTTGATCCCTGGAAGCCATGAATAAAAAGATCTGAAAGTGGCTGCCACGCGTCTTAGAAGTGAAACTTCTAAGTTAAAAAGGATCATTAGATATTACTAATTATTCTTAATCATTGTGAGAGAATAACGTGCTAATGTTTGACGCAAGAACTAATTAAATATAAAGAATAAATAAAGGGTTTAACTTTCCAAGTCGGGGTCCTTCTATAGCTTACAATATTACACACGCCATAACGAGTTTTGCTTCAAAGGAAATTCGTTAATTATGAAATATTTGGACAAATGGTATTCTTACTGCTAACGCTTTCGCTATGGCAGTCGATTGGGCCTTAGTGCCACCCCTGAAGGAAACTTCACAACAAAAGTACCCTGTGCGGTTATATTCTGCTAATCTATGGGCGCTGTTTTTTAGCTGCTGGATATAGCCAGCCTCGTCTTTAGGGGTCGCTTCGTGGTGACAACCGATAGCCGGCGTTAGGAGCGGAAGAGTTAAAAAGTGGATTTTGAGAGAAGACTCAACATTTTGTAGAAATAAATCTCAGGATATGAGAAACGAAGAGCGTCCGCGTTTGGACGGAATCGGTACGGCACTCGTTTCCTGGCCGAGAGCAGGCTTTGGCAACATTAACGACGAGAAATCGAAAAGCTCCGGCCACTTTCGAAAGCACAAATTGGTTTAGGTTACCCAGCGAAGGAATCCGCCATCCGAGGATCGCGGAAAGAATTGGATCTGGCCAGCGGCCGGACATTCCGCGGCCGCCAATTCCAACTGGACCACCGGAAGAGGTAGTTTTTCGATCGATTCCTCACTTTCGATTGGATACCTCGCGTCGATACATAAATTGGCCGATACATGGTCACAAAGGAGGAAGTAGTTGCCCCCTCCTATCGAGAAGAGGAGAGGAACGCCTCTCTTGATTCTACCCGAGGAAACTTCGATTTAGCCGGGGGGAAGGAGGTGAAATGAAAAACTTGGGGAAAGAGGGAAGGAAAAGTCAATCCGGGAATAAAGCGAGGGGGGACGGACAAAGAGAAAACGGTCGGGCTGGAGGAAATCTTAGAAGGGGATGTGAAACGTGAGATGCGTAATTGGTGGGTTACGGAAGTTATGCTGCTACGGACGGAAGTCAAAGGATGAAAACACCTTCTATCCGGTTCTTTGCCTAAAGTTTGGATACTTCGTGACGAGATGCAAGTATAATGATGTAATGAAGATTTGAGGAAAATATTGCTGACCCTGATTGGATACAATGGATACTCTATAAGTTAGATTATCAAAGACACGAAGTTGTTGGGAAAGGAACTCTGCATTTGTTAAACCCGAAAAGCAGTAAAAAAGACGATTTTCTGAATCTTCGGTTACGATCGGAAACCTTCTATCGATATACTGATATATCGATGGATAGGTTGTATCAAAACATCGATACGTCGTTTTGAGACCATTGAGTTCGAATCGAGCTTCAGACCTCTATCTAAAGCGAGAGAAACGTTTCTCCTGATTTGATTCCCTGGAAGTTCGATTTCAGGAGGGAAGGAGGAAAGGCGCAAAAGTGAGAAAAGAGGAGTGGTAGATCGGAAGTAGATGAAATAAAACAGAAACACCAGGGTAAGCGAGAAAGAGCGAAAAAGTATTTGAAAATGCATTAAACACTGGAGATGAGAAAGTTGCCGATCTGCAACGGTATTCGACGTCGGTGGGATTCAATGGAACCAAGGAAAAAGGCCATTTTCAGAGCAATTCCTTACTTTCGATTAGATGCCTCGTATCGACACGTCGATACAACAAGCACCTTGCACCGGAACAATGGTGTATCAATGTGAGGTAGGTTGGGGGAATCTTTCATGATTTGGCAATCTTAGGCTGCGATTTCAGCAAAGAGGCGGGTCTATCGGAAACTCGGAAAGGAGGAGAATAATGAAACTGGTCGGAGCGAACTTGGAAGGAGATGGTGCAAACTCATAAAAGAGCAGTGGAAGGAAACACGATACATGAGAAAGTTGCACTTCTCCGTGTTGCAGCAACCGGTGTACAGGCAGAATGTTTTCGGAGCATTCGTTAATCAAAACGTAAAATGTCACATCCCAAATTATTCATCATGAGTAATATCGATACGCAGAAGAATAGCTTAGCAATTAAAAGGAAACAGAGTAAGCGGACTCCAGGAAGGAGGAAGAAAAAAGAGAAATAAGTTGCAATACGCAGGCAACGATGGAAACGAAAACGCAATAGCGCACGAGGACATTGTAGGACGTCGCATTTTTCGATTTTATAATCACTGAATGCATCGAAATAAATCTCCCGTAACCGTCATCAACCACAACGAGATCACTTCCGGACGTAAGAAGCGAGCCTTTTACAATCCAATCGACCGCGCGTTCTAATCCCCCAGGTAAGAAAAGGGGTGTAAAAATAAAATGGTAAAAGGTGAGAGATGCGGATAAAAAGAAGGAGAAACGGCTCGAGGGAAGGGTGGAGAGGGAAAGGGGGAGTCGCGAAAGAAGGAACGCGGGGATGCAAAAGTTGCGGGTTTACGAGGGAGCCGTGTGCCGTGGAGGGGTAGGGACTCTCGAGTAAAGCGGGGTTAAGTCGGTGAGGAAAGAGTGCGGACGCACGGCAAAGTCCTCGAGGAGCGAGCAGGGTGGGGGTGGTTCCTGACACAGGGTTAAACTGGGACTGAAACCGAGCCTCGAAAAAAAAGGGCGAAACGGCTCGGCCGTGAGTGTCCTACATCGCGCCCCGCACCCTCTGTGGCATCGTTGCCCAGAAATCGATTCCTCCCTTTTGAGAACTCCCCTCGGGAGCGCGGCTGATCCGCGCTATTTTATTGTAGCCGACAGTCGAGGAAACTCCCCTTGTTCTCCATAACGGGAAGGTCTCACGAGAGTAAGAATTTTCGGGCTCAAAGACTTCCTCGAGAGCTCGACGATTGTGGCGATGGTGCCGACTATTCCTGGTAGTTGCCCATTGTCTGTATCGACTCTCGGTGTTGGATTATAAAGGCCTGCTATTTCTTTGAACGTGTTACTTTGCGAGACTAAAGCAGTACCGGTGTTCCGCTGTAAGTGAACATTTTTGGATCGGAGATATAGGATAGTCAAGGAATTTAGGAGATAGTCACGACATCGATGTCGCGATCGACCGCAAGGCATGATCAACCATTATGACAACCTACCATGCATTTGTTTCCATCGAATCGCATTCGGTAGTGAAATCCAGAACCAGCATTTTCCCATCTGATGTATTTGACCGAAAGGATTATCACCATAGGACATATTTGACTGATGGAACCATCACCATAGGAGGTTTTTCACCGAAAGGATCATCATCATATTTTATACATCAAGCCCTCCGAGGAAACCAGAGAGGGTCAGGTGCTAATTTGTATCCTGCCCGATATTGGTACTCCTGGGGTTTTCTAATTCCAGATCGGCTCGACGGAAGAGTCGGAAAGGGGGCAAGTAGTTCGGGACGACGTCGGGCGTCGACGTCGCGTCGGACGGAACCGCGGCGTGCTCGCGACCGGTGTGAACTTTGCCGTAGGGGATTATGCAAATGTGGGTAGCGCGGCAGGCGGGGTTAGGGGCGGTTTTCTTGCTTGTCATTACCACGTTCGTGGCTTCACCCGGAAGCTACGTTCTGCCCGTAGAACCTGGCAGGAACTAACTTTGAAACCGGCTCTCGACTACGCCAGACGTAGCTCCCCTTAGGGCAAAGTTCACACCGAGACACGTGGCGGAAAGAAGGGAACTTCCCTTAACAGGGGCTCGATCGTCGTCCCGCGATTTGGGGCCGTTCGACCCTCTATTACCCATGCTGAAAAAAAAAAAATTCGATTTAACAAAAGCTGCTCTAGTCCGCACACCAACCCATGCACGCTTCGAATGTCCAGGACGTAACTTGTCTATGACTCTGCGAAATTCAAGCTTTCAAACTGTCTAACGATTTGATATTATCCTGTTCATATGTATAATCGAATAGTAATTTTAAGGAAATCTCGTCTAAAGTTTATTTCTTTCAAATGAAGAATTTGGTTAATACGCCTGTACAGTAAAGTCTCTGTCCTGTTCTTGGCAACGAGGGACGACTGAGTCTTTTGATAATTCCCGGTTCTTCAATATTGTATCTGTCGTGTTTATGGCGGATATGATGTCAAAAGAAATGCCATTTTAGCATTATTTTTAAAGGTTAATTTTTCATTTTGATTGAAAGCATTTAAATAGACTTGATTTAGTAAAGTGCAGTTCCTTGTAAGGTAAATTAAATTCCAAAACATGTCACGGATAAGAGACACCTTCCCTTAAGATTTGCTCGATAATTTTTTACGATTTGGGAATTATTCAATTTTCAATACCCCACATAAAAAATCTCGTTTCAATGGGGAAACTGCAGCTAGGGTTCCCGTCAATGCACTTTTCAAGTATTAAAAAAGAACTTTACGATGAGTCATTGGGAATAAAGTTTCTGAGGTTACTAGTACTCTTTAATGGTATCTTTCTTACCGTAATAACGAAGTAAAGATTTCGATGTAAAAATCTTTGTGAGAATATTTTTGTCAAGGTAAACTATTGATGATTTTGCTTCTTCCATTACAGATTGACCCGAAAGTTGCGTTTCCCAGGAGAACACATCCAAAGGTGAGTCAGATCTGCTTTTCTCCATTCGCCATATAGAGAGTGCACGAGAATTTCTCCAATGTAGTTTTTCATAGAATATATCGTCAAAGTGTAATAAACACTGGGTTAGTTCGTCGACGGGGTGGAATAGAACCGGCGGCACGTGTTAAAATGTGATACCGACCGTGACGCATTCGCAATGATTAAAAATTGCAGAGCTTCCTTTCACGGGCGTAAATCTCGTAAAAAATGTATTCCAAATCCTCTTTTGCAAATAGCGAGAAAAATTTAAATTTAAAGGCAATCGCCATTACCGGGCGCATTTTTCCCATCGCGTCGGCTACGTATCAAAAATTGTTATTTAATACTGTAAATAAAAGATGAGGCATTTACGTGCACGCCTCTACAAATCCCATTTGAACGCGGGAATATAACCTCTTTACTTTTTCTCTTTTTTTAATTCCTGTCAGTGAAAAATATTCGGAGAAGAGAAATACAAAAATAATTTCTGCGCATCCCTCAACGCGCTTACTCCGTAGTTTTTCGCAGTAGCATTTTGAAGGGGCTAACGCAAGGCATCGAGAAGCGCAAGGTCCGCAGCTTTCGTGTCCTTTTCCGTACAAAAGGAACGACTCGCGCGATTCAGCGCAGAAATTACGGCGAAATTATTTCCCTCTGAACAGCCGAGAGTGTGGTAGGCTCCACCTACCCCACAGTCGCACACGGACCTCGCAATGGCAGCGGCGCTTGAAAAGGGTTGTAATTCGTGCAGCTTATTAATATAAATGCCAGGCACGCGAATTACCGAGCGGAGTGACTGAATTGCGCTAATTTTAATTGTACCCTATCCCGGGTGGTCTCTCGGTTCTTTTCATCAGCCGCCGTCGAATTCCACCCCCGACTTCCAACCCCTGGCGGTCGCGGCATTTCACCTTTGCTACCCGATAGGAAAAACTGGATCGCATAATTTATGAGGCGGAATTGCATCTCCGCTGGCTCGGTAAAATGCCACGGTTGATTTCTCGCGAGAAACCACCCCCTGTCCCCGACGGGGTTCTCCAACCCTGCTGGAAAAAATCTAGGCGGTGTAAAGAGGTGTTCGCGGCACCAATTATAGTTCCGTAATTAACTTGATCAGACTCGAGAATGGGCACTTTTATTCAATGGATATTCCCCCAGAGGAAATGAAATTTTAGCTCTTGGATTAGAAGAATGGGTTACTAATTAGACCAGGAAGAGGGAAAAAAATGTCTGAAATGATTGAATTTTCAGATATGCAACGAACGAAATTCGTTGCCACGGGAAGGGAGAAATTTTATTCGCTGTCGCGATATCTGGTTGTCATAAATAATTTCACTTCTAATTAGGCTTCATTTAGCTTATGGTAATTAATTCAGACTTTCGTACCTCTACTTTCGCGCCCTCTACTTTCATTACCTCCTGCCGATTTTGCTGCAGTCAATTTTCGCCGTCGTACAACATTTTCTATAATCTCCGCGGGTTAATCCAAACAATATACGACAAGATATTTTGCGGAAATATCCACAATACCATTTAAATGAAAGAAGTGATGAAAATCATATTACTGGGGCAGAAAAAAAAAATGAGGCCTGAACATTTAAGGACTCTGTTAAGAGTTAAAAATCGGTCACTTTATCCCCAATTTACTGACATCGAAGTCGAGCCCAAAGGGCTCCATCTTGATCAAAACGTACGTTATTGGGGTCATCTGCATATCCCCGCGTCCTCCCTCGCACGGTAAAATTTCCGGCATTTCGGAACGAAGTAACAACCATTAATCGCGAGATGGGAGAAACGTATTCCGCCCGGACAGGCGGTAGGGGGTGGGTGGACGTGCAATTTTCATAAAATGGCGGTGAGCTCACGAACGCCGAGACTCGTTTGAAAAAGTAATGGGAAAGCACGACGGGCCTACACGTCCGCGGCCCTCGAAGCGCTACCAGGAAACCCTCGCGCCCGGGTGGCCGCCCCCTACGTGCACCCCAAGTGCCCGCCGGCGCATCCCCGACGGGCCGCACGAGATCGCGTCGATACGGGGCGGACGCTATGGCGATATTCATAAATCGCGCCCGGGCGTATCGGCGATGAGGAACACGCGATGCCAGGGAAACTGCGCCCACCTGCATGCCGGATGCATTCTGGTCCATTGCCATTCATAAATGACTCATGAGCGGAATGCACTCGTGCCACTTACCGGATATCTGCCCCGCATTACTCTCCGCACTGCAACCGAGTGGACGCGAGAGATCCAAGAACCGGGGTAAAGATAGCCCCGGTTAATCGCTTAAGGATAGAAACGCGCATCCTTGAACGTCGCGGCGCGACATCTCCGAGGCAAGGAAAAGAATTCTGGTCGGTCGAGGAGGCGCCTACCCAGCTTTCGGAGAGATGCCAGAAAACGCTTCGCGCCCGGGCGGCCGCCCATCACTGTCCGCCAGGTATGCCGTTCCGGAGCCAACTTCAATACGGCCCGAGAATTCCCGCCCACCCGCTTCCGGAGTGTCTCCCGTAAGAAATGGTAATCTGCTTCCACGGCGCCAACAATAACAATGGGATTTCCCTCCACCTCGGCCTGCTGTCAGCCAGTGGGAATAGACAATAGTAATAGAGCTCGTCCTGAAGTTGGCTCCGAAACGGCGTACCTGGCGAGCAGGTCGGCCGCGCGCGCGGTAATCCGAGGCGAAGTAAGGCCAGATTGCGCCATGCCGGGATTGATAAATCGCCCCCTGGCAGCGTTTCGCTCCGCGAATCGCACCCGGGCGGGAATAGGCGCAGGAGCACCCTACCCACCCTCTCCGCGATCGAGGGCGCCAAGATTGCGCGCCTCGCAATAAGCCCGCTCGAATGCGCCAAAGGGGCTGAACTTTAGGGGAAAATGCTTCGCCGCAAAGTTCATCGAAATGTCAGCTGTGTCTCCGGGCGGATCCCGCGGAGCCTCGTAACCGCTTTGTCGGCGCGTTTCCGCCAGGGCGGGAATCTTCGACCCGGCTCGTCAGGAGCGTCGCCGCTACCTCTCCGTCCTTCTCCGAATGGATGTCGGGTTTTAGCGGAGTTGCGTTTTAACGAGAATCGCCTGACGTTTTCATCAGCATTTTCCGCGTTTGTGACGTCGCGTCTTAATGGATAAGGCGCCACGTGCCGACTAATGATACACGGTTTTGCAGTCCCGGTTTTTGATCTACCCCTTAATGTGCCGCACATACTCGGTCCTTCTTTAGCATATCGTCGTACCGCGACGTGAATTTTCCTTTCTCTTCGCTCTTTCTGGATCTCCTCCCCCATCGTCCCTATGAAGGAAAAAACCCGTAAATCAACCACTAAAGGTTTTTATTGTTTCTTGCTATATGTCATTAATAGAGTCATTCGGGGCAATTGTTTGCTTTTCGTCAATCTGTGCGATATTTCTCCCATATAACACACATCATATTTGTCCAATGTGTAATTTCTCAAAGCTGAGAAGCAAATCTGAAAATTTTAGTGGTCACTAAGTCAGCTATGTAGAACATAATCCAAAGGAAAGTGTAAGGTGACGATGGCGAGCGTTCCTCTTCAAAGGGATCATTTCGTACACCCTTTCTTCCACATTTTGTGAATAAGTCATGACGAAAGTACTAACCCAGTACCTACAAATCTTGCCCGCGAGTATCGGTTAGAGCTGGACGAGACGGAGTGGTTCGGTTTTTCACATCTATCGCAGTCAACTACCGATTTCGGGCGTCCCCGTCGCCGGGGGCGTCTACGGCCAGCGTCGTCCTCTCGGTCGGCCCGCGTAATACACCCACTTGTTACCGAGCAGCGATACCTCCGAAAGTACGTGTACCGTACAAAGCCGGCTGTCCGTACCTACACGCGCGTACATAATACATACGCGAGACATTATTCAGACCGCCACTAGCTCGAGAGCACGAGGGCGACAGGGGACGGCGGGCTCGAGGGCGCGAAAGGGGTGGGTGGGAAAGCACGGCTTCTCGCTCGAAACAGAGACCAAGCCGAGAGGGAGAAGGAGGGAGAAAGCGAGAGGAAAGGAGAGCAGCACGTCTCGCGTAACGAGCTGCCGGCTCCCCAGGGTGTTCAGCTCCTCTTCGCTCCCGTTCCGCCCACGCCTCCTCCGGCAGCCCCTTACGTGGGCGCTCACCCTCCACCCGGGCGGTCGTTTTGTTTTCCGACCGGCGGATCTTCGGCGGCGCCACTCGCCCTAGCCCGCGGATATCCGTCCGGCGTGATTTACTCGAGGCCGAGTTTATGAATGCGGCGAAAATCAAATCGAGGAAAGGGGCTTCGGTTTGGTGGCCGACTGCTGATCTCACGGTTTACGGGGCCGATCTTGCATAATGCAGGGTTTATCCTCGCGTGTACTCCTGTTATCCGATCTAGACCAGTTCCCTCGTATCCGTGTACAAGGGATGGACAATTTACCCGCGACATTAAATTGGACTTCCCTCCGGGTTGGAATTATTTTACCTGCGGGCATTTTAGTAAATCAGCGAAATCTTGGATTCGGTGTTCTACGGAATTTTTGGGCTAGGGCCGGTCAGACGTCGGATACGTTACGACGGACGTATTGAAACAATGATGGCACCCGTTTTCCGATGTCCATCACAATGGGTCATGATGTACTTCCATGAGGATGGTTGTGACGACAACCATTGAGACGACGCTCGTGGAGTCCCAGCGTTAAGGTGAAATTAAACTCGCCTCAAACCAGACAATTTGAAAAGGAAACATTTTTTAAGAGGTATTGCCCCGAACTCCGTGAAACTTTAGCACATGATTCGCGAGGAACAATTACGTTTCTCGACGTGTTCTACGTCACGTTAACGAACAGGATGAAAGGTCGATCGGGAGCCGGTCGCGATTCCAAATTCCCCGTCGAGGTTCTTTCTCGACCGGGCGGCCGAGGCGACTTCGCCATGGGCGACCCTGTTTCCCTGAAGCGGAGTGCGCCGCCTCAAAGGAGAGCCCGTCGTTACATTCATCTTTCGGGAAAAACTCGCCGTCGA